GGCCTACTGGGGGACCCGAGTGCCAGGGTCCTGCTTGGGGACCTGAGTGCCAGGGTCCTGCTGGGGGACCTGAGTGCCAGGGTCCTGCTAGGGGCCCGAGTTCCCAGGGTCCTGCTGGGGGACCTGAGTGCCAGGGTCCTGTCTGGGGTCCTGAGTGCCAGGGTCCTGCTGGGGGACCTGAGTGCCAGGGTCCTGTCTGGGGTCCTGAGTGCCGGGGTCCTGCCTGGCTTCCAGGCTTGTCTAATGCAGACATCTAGGAACCCTCCTCCGCTCCCCTCCCGCTCTCCCAGGATGGTGACAAATTGAAAATCCTATTAGTGTTAAATTAATGGGCTTTTCTTGTGGGGCAGCGGGCCGGAACGGCGGCCGGGCTGAGGCGCTGGCGGGCAGAGGGTGTGGGCCGAGCGCGGTGGCCGCCCTCCAGAGCCCTCCTGTCCTTGATGAACCGGCTCATCTCTCCGGCTGAGCGGCCTTTTATCTGGGAAGGGGCAGAGGCGCTTTGAACCTTGGAATTAAAATCCGCCGGGGCCTGGGACAAAGGCTGAGCCCTGGGCCCACGCCCTCCTCCCCAGGCCCGGCCTGGGCCTTCCCAGGGCTTTGGGGCCCGCTGCTTGTCTCTGGCCCGTGACCCCCAGGGCAGAGGGCATGTGCCTGGCAGGGTGCAGGGAGCTCTGTGCTTTTCCAGGCTGTGGGAAGGCTCAGCTGGAGCACCCTGGCTGCGGAGCTGGCCTCCACGGGTTCTGGAATCTTCTCCCACGCGCCCACCTGCCCAGCTTCTCCAGGGCCGCGGACGTGGGCGACTTCTCAGGCCTTTGTGGGGTGACGACTCTGCCCGGCACCGGGGGTGGGGGCCCGGGGGTTCTGGGGCTGTGAACGAAGCACCCTCAGACCTGCTCCTGGGGATGGCGGGTCGGCCGGTCGGGTCAAGTTCTGATAAGTGCCGTGGAGAAGAGCAAGCAGGGCCAGGAGGAGGACTTTGAAAGGGCGGTCAGGGAAGGCTCTGGGAGAGGCCTGAACACGGCGAGGGAGGGCGCCAGGTGGAGGTGGGAGCTGGCAGGAGTCGGCTCTGGCCGAGGTGGTGGGGGGGCGAAGAAGATCAGGAGTCCAGAGTGGCCAGCGGGAGGGGAGAGTCCACCAGGGCCTTCCCTTCAAACGCCGGCCAGGAAGGGAGACCCCTCCTGCTTCCCAGTTCCTAAGCTGTTAGGGGCACTGGAGGGAGAGGAGAGGAAGAGGCAGGTTTGGGGCTCGAGATGCGTCCCTCCAGGCCTGCCCAGGGTCCCCCGCCAGCGATGACACAGACAGTAAAGACGCACTGTCTGGTCCGTGGCGCCTGCTCCCGCCAGGCTCTCTGCTGAGCCCCGTCCCCACACTGACTTCCCGGGTGGATTCGTGTCCAGGGGATCTCGTGCCTGGGTTTACAGGGGCTGGAGCTGGAGGCACCTGTGGAGGCCAGGGGTGGTGACCGGCAGGGCTGAGATGGTGCCCAAGCTGCCTGTCACAGAGGCCCTCCCGTGTCCCTCCAGGCTCCTGCCACCCCTCTCGTGAGATGGCCAGGGCCCCGGGGTGGAGGAGGGCCGTGGTGCTGTGGTGTCCTGTGGTGGCTCGCTGTCCACCCCAGCCAGAGCCACAACTCCCGCAGGGCGGGAAGCAGGCTGCTGTCCCCTCTGCCCGCGGTGACCAGGCGCCCCTCTGCAGGACGTGGCATTCAAGTGCGGTCAGTGTGCGGCGGCCTCTGCGCCCGTGTGCGCCATGAGTTGTCGGAGCCCCGGGAGGACATCAGGACCAGAGAGAAAAGGAGGGAACGAGGCGGAGGAGAAGGGAGAGGAGGGGAGCTGAGCCGAGACCCTCCGCTGGAGAGAGGGAGGCCGAGGGCACCCAGCCCCTGAGGGAGGCAGGAGAGAGAGGTCCAGAGACCGCAGGGAGGCCGAGGCCAGGGGAGGCAGGCAGGAGGCCATTGCCAGTTGCGGGATCGGGCTTCCCGGCAGGGGGACCTGCCAGCCCAGCTTCTCAGTAAGACCTAGGTGTGGACAGGAAATGGGCAAGGCCGGGCTGGTCAGGGAGCAGGCGTCTGTGGGGGAGACGGTGTGGCCAGGCAGACTGAGGGACGAGGCGGGCAGCGGCCAGGTGGAGGGCAGCAGTGAGCCCTGGCAGGACAGGGAGGGTGCCCCAGGGTCTTGGGTCCCACAAAGATCTGTGCCAGGATGAACACGGTGCCAGAGATGCCACTGGGTTGAGCAGGATCGGGTCTTTGTCACTTGATGCCCCCAACCTGCCTCTCCTTGGAGTCCCCTCCCTGCTCAGGCTCCTCGCTGCTCACCTGGGTGTTCCAAGTTCCCTGAGTGCGCTCAGCGGCTCCCCGCCATCCCATCTCTGAGCTGGAAGTGGACACATCACCTTCCTGTCTAAAACCTTCCGTAGCTCCCCAGTACCCAGGGGGCGAGCCTCGTGCCCTGTCCTGCCACCCTGGCCCCAGTCGCTCCTCTCCATCCCACACCTGTGCTTTGGCCACACTGAACCGCAGCGTCAACCTGTTGCTCTTGGGAAAGTCTGGATGAGAGGACACTGGGGGCCACAGGCACCTGGCAGGGATCTCGGGCCTGATCCTGGGGAGCGGGGTCCTGGGGCTCCGGCGCTGGGCACCCAGATGGGGCAGGGCAGGAGCCCAGCCCTCCCCCGGGAGGTTATTTTTGTCGTGGTCAATAAACCCCTTTGGAAAATGTGAGCAGCGTCTGATCCCGGGTCTTCGCCGCGACGCTCTCCTCTCAGTGGGTCCGAGGCAGCGGCCTCGGTTAATAAAGAACGATTATGGGGTGGGATTAGGGAGATTATCAGGAACAGGTGGAGCCCCCGCCCCACCCGGGCTGCCCTCTGCAGCGGGATGAGCTCACACTTTTTCCGCCTGAGGATGTGCCTGGAGCCTCGCGGCCGGGCTGGTCCCTGGGGAGGGAGGGGAATCCTCCTTCCAGGGACTTCCCACCGAGTCCCAGGTGAGGCTCCAGGGGAGGGGACGGAGGGGTCATCCCAGCCCAGTGGCACCCCACTTCCCAGTCCCTATTCAAGGAAGCAGAGTGAATCGGGGCTGGAGCGCTAAGTGCCCACCAGGGTGGCTGGTCCTGGCTGGTCCCTGGCCCGGGCCTGGGTGGCTTGGGTCACCACGTCCATCTCTGGCCTTCAGTCTCCTCAGCCGAATGCTCCTTGGCTCTGCAGAAATCAGCTCCAGTTTGTCTGGACTCGGGGAATAAAAGTTCCGTGATCCAGCTGAGGCACAGTGGCGCATGTCACCTGGTATTCCAGTGACTCGAGAGGCTGAGGATCACAAGTCAGAGGCCAGCTTCGTCCACTTGCCTCAGAAAAAAAAAAAAAAAGACAGCAATGGAGCTCAGTGGAAGAGCACCCCTGGGTCCAATCCCCACTACCCAAAAAGTTCCGTGATCCTTTTTGGCAGATGAACTTAAAGAAGGAAAACTAAAGCAAAAGAACTGACCAGGAAACTAAGTCCATTTGTCTCTGACACTAAAACCTGGGTGAGGATCCTAATTATGGGACGGAATGAAAAATGTGGAAATGAAGGAAATCCCATAAAAATTGCAAGCTACAAATAGCAGAGGGAAAGGAGGAGAGAAGATATGAAGTGACACACACGGTTCTAAAGCAACAATGGAACATAGTTTTTACCACCCTTGCATCAAAAAGGAAAGCAATACAGATCGCAGAAACCTACAAAACTGAGATAATAATAATAATAATAATAATTGGATTCTCATCAGCACTATGGAATACCGCCAAAGCAGAGCTCTATGTGTTTTTATTAATAAGTAATAAAGATCAAAAGTACATAAATTAAGCATCGAAGAAGTAAAAAAAGCAGCAATAAAATAAACCTAGAAAAAGAAAGAAAGTTATTAAAGGCAAAAGTGGAGATAAATGAATTAGAAATCAGGAACTAATTTTTATTCGTTTGTTGGTTAGAACTAATAAATGTTATTGTTAAAAGACAAAATAGATAAAGTATAGGTGATCTAATCCAGGGGGAAAACAAAAAGGAAAAAAGAAAAAGCCCAAGTTCCTAAAATAAAAAGTGGTTATGAAGAAATAACCCCAGTTTAAGAAGAAATAAAACTAATCCGCACACATACTCGAGAACATATGGATTCATCCAAATGGATTCAGGGATGAATTTTTAAAGAAGATGGAACCTGTAAAAATGTATCTGGAAGCAATAGAAAATCTAAACAGATCAACTTTAGAAGGAATGAAGTTATTTCTAAACCAATCAACCAACCATTAGGCTCAGTGGATCAAACCCCAAGACCACACACAAACCAACCCACATCGCGATGCCGCTTTTCACCTGCAGCTGAACGGTATGAAGTCGGACAAGTCACTGGCGTGAGTGGATCTATGGGGAAACGGGAATGTTGGTAAGATTGCAAATTGTCACACCCATCACGGGAACCGCGGGCCCCCCACGCAGCCTTTGACCCCACAACCTGGCGTCTGCGAGCTTCTCCACAAACTCACGTGTGTGAAGTGACATTCCTGTGACACATAGCAGGGGCAAGAGACAGCCTCAGGTCCACCGGGAGGAGAAGTGTCCCGTGTCTCTGACTCCAGAGGACATTCTCCAGGGGCGAGGTGGGTCAGCTGAGGCCGACG